AATGATACTCAGACTGTAAACCAACTGCAAAGAAAAATAACAAATTTTACAATACACAGCCTGTCCTGTGCTAAAGCAAGGAAGCATTCACTGCCATACCTTAGCCAGCTGGGCACGCAAATCGGCCACCTCTGCTTCCAGACTGCGTTTCTCATTCAGGACAGTATTGAGTTCCGCTTCACTTCTATGAAACAGCACTTCAAGATCCTTAACACGACCCTGAGCCACAGACAAATCTCCATCTTTCTTCTTGTAGCTGAATAAAACAAAAGTTAATTATAAGTGTGTGCACACACATCTTGAGCATGTCTTGGTTACAACTACAGATATTTTGTTTTCATACCCATTTTATTAGGATTAGTGTACCACCAGGTGGCTCCTAGAGTAACCTGCAAATGCAGCTAATAAAAGTAATCAAAACCACCTCTTAAAACACACAGCTTGTACCAATGTGTTGTAAATGCATTGCCTAATAAAGAAGAACATATGTCATGGGCTGGCAAGGGAAAAACAAGAAGGCAACGCTGACAGCTAAGAGATGACAATAGAGCTGCTTTACACACAAGGTGTAAAGAGTATTTGTTCATCTCACTGCTGCACAGCACATTCAATTGCCGACATCTACCACCTTGGACTACAGCCCCAGAGAAGCAGAGCGTGTGCACCTCTCAGAGAGGTCCATGAGCATCCCTGGTGTTTTGTATTTGATGTGGCCAAGCCCGTTCCCTAGGATGCATTCCCACACAGAACAGTAAAGTAATCCACCGTGGAAATGTGGCCACCTCTCAGGAATAAACCAGTATTTCTTCAGCAGTATTCATCACAAGCAAAGCAACTCTGGTCACTTTAAATATAATTATTTTAGCTGTTATATCCAACTCACAGAAATCAAGGTCACCCTCCTCCTGCCCACCAAGTATTTGCCTACCTTTTTCTCTAACATACTTTCTGCAGCTTCTCTAGGTGTGTGTCGTGTAATTAAAAACCTGGTTTGTTACATGAAATAATCCTTCCTTGCTGCAGTTTAAGCTCACTATTCTAGTCTCACACCACTAAATGCAGGGAATGGCTTTTTGTCTTTTTCTCTTAAACCATCTTAGAATTCGTTTTTCTCCTTCTCTTTCCTCAAACTTCTCTCTTATAGATGTGTAGTTTTCAGCCTCTGGTCAGTGAGCTGCTTTTAAGGGCCCACAGAAATAACTTTCAATAGGAGTCCCATTACCTATAGGCTTTAAAAAGCTCTATATTTGGTCTGCAACTCTAAACATGAAACAACATTATGTTTGTAAAGTGTTTTTAAAGGAAAAAAAAAAAAAAAAAAGCAGAAAACCACTGCTCTAGATTACACAAACCTTGCTCCCCAGCCCAAATCCTGAGTCTTCATTCCCAAACTTCTGATCACACGTACTGTCCTCTTGAATCCCTAATTTGCCTATAACTCACAAAATGTGATGCCCAGAATTATTTTACAAAAATCTTAGTAGTGCTGTGCCCTACAGACAGTATTTCTTTACATGCTTCAGCATGATGTGCCTCTTCTTCTAGCTACAGAATAAATTGACACACTTATTTTGTGATACGCTCTAGCTACGAGGCTCATACGCTCTCTCTGCATTCCTTGGTGTAGATCTCTAAATTTAGTTTTCATTAACTGTAACCAATTTTTCTTAATCATTGGTCCAATCTGTCACTGTGAATCCTGTTCTGCAACATATGTGCAGTGTCTTCAAGCTCAGCAGCTTGCAGGAGACATATAGACAAAACATCACTGCTACTTAAAAGACAGTTATTTAAGCAGCAACCAGAAGGTCTTCAAAATAGACTCTCCAGACACATGTCCCTGCACCACATGTGTCACGTAGTGAAACAAGCCACTGTGCATGTGTCAGACAATCAGATCTGGAAGCCTTCTGGCTGTGCAGTACCTAAAGGGCAAATGTCACTGCATGGCCCATAGCTTCCTTCCCACCTGCAGAAGCCAGGCAGCATGCAAATATTCCCAGGGAGACAGGAACGAACGAGAGCATTCAATGTACAAAGCACCATAAAGAATTCCTGACAGTGATAAGCATCTTCTGCTCCTTCACTAACACTGACAGTGGAAGACACTCCAAGCTGCTTGCATTCACATTTTTATTTGCATTTATAACTTCAGCCTGGTTTATTGTCTTCATGCAGAAAAATTGATAGAAGGCTTAACAAAGGTGCAACCTGCTTTTGGGGGTCTCTGAGGTGCCTGGAAGTTGCAAATGGCGGTCGATGTGTCTGTTGAGATGTACCAATGTTCTTTGAAGGACACCAGGTTAGGGTAACCCTCTAGAGCTCTTTTTCCCCAAAAAGCAGCCAAGTTTGCTCAAGTGAAATATTTCAGTGACCATGTGGGGTAGCAGGCAGAGGAGGCTGCAGCAAGACAGTCACACAACTCAATAGTTAGGAGCTTGCAAGAAGACTGCTAAAAGGAACAGATGGATGAGGTCTACATATATCTACCTCCAGGCTTTGCTTGACCTGGGGACTTGTGACACCGGTAAAGATGAACGGACACTTCACAAACATCAGGACAGGAGACTTTCCTTAACCGGGCCATCAAAGTTACCTCTGCTATGACTGAATGCACCCTGATCACTACACTGGGTCTGGTTCAGCATTTTTTCTGCTGTTCCAAAGCAAAAACATTGTGCATCTCACTAATAAATTAAATGTTCCCATCTATACCTCTTCCACTCATCCTCTCCCTCCCTCAAGCAGTCAAAAGTTGTGTCAAGCAGCTAAAGATGTACACAAAAGCGCTGGAAGCTGTTCTATAATGTACAGGAAAGAACCATGCTTGCTTCAGAATGGTATCAGAATGTCTATGTTTGCAACAATATTTTAACCCTAGATTTTAAAATATGTCCCTACTCCCGATACAAACATCTTCAAACTAAGAAGTTAAGCTATTCCTTATATCATATAAACAGTGTTAGAACATCCTAAAGATATGTCACTTTTTATAAAGTGACACTATCCAACTGCTTTATGAACTCAGCTCAATAGAAAAATTCATAGGACCTATTGCACTGGGACAAAGGGTAATGGTTTTAAACCAAAAGACGGTATATTAGGCTAGATCTAAGGAAGAATTTTTTTTTATGATGACAATGAAGGTTGTGAGACACTGGCACAGGTTTCCTAGAGGTGGTAGATGTCCCATGCCTGGAAATATTCAAGGTCAGGTTGGATGGGGCTCTGAGCAATGTTGATCTTGTTGGAGATGTCCCTGCTCACTGCAGGGGGGTTGGACTAGATGGCCTCTAAAGGTCCCTTCCAACCCAAACTATTCTATGAACCAGCAGGGCACAGAAGCAAAGAATGCTAAAAGCATCCTGGGCTAAATTAATAGGAACATGGCTGCTAAATCACGGGAAGCAATTATCCACTTCTGATCAGCACTTGGTAGATCACTTCTGTGTCTGTTATTGCATTCAGTTCTGGACCCCATCATTGATAAATTGGAACAAGATCAGAGACCACCAATGTGGTCAGAGACTTTGGAGGATATGCCCTGTTAAAAGAGGCTGAGGGAACTAAGGCTGACGAGCCTGGAGATAAGACAGCTTCGGCAGGACCTGACCAGAATGACAATATGTTAAAAGAAGGAAAATGACATATGAATCACCAATTTTTCAAATGGAGAAACTCAGACCCCGATACTTGTATGGGTAAAATTAGACAAAGGCTTCAATGACGATAGTAACGGCCACATGCATAAGGGCAAAAGAATTTGAAGATTCAATTTGGCTTTTGTAAGGGGGGTAAGCAGGCGTAAGAACCCTGCATAGCAGGGCTCTGTGAGGGCCTTACCTCACCTCTGCCCAAAGAGGCCATGGCAGATCTGGTAACCACAAAACACTTCTGGGTTTTGTAGCACCCATGGAACTCAGAGGGATCTTGGGAGACATCTCTGAGTCTGATGTCTGACTGTCTGGAGCTTACCCTTCTTCACACACCAGCAGCTCAGGAGCACTCAAATGCAACTGTATTTAAGAAATTACTTGTAAATGAAAATTCAGAACAAGACACTGAACACTGTTACGGTACAACCCTATCTTGAATACCGGTTGAAGTTCCAATTTGGCAGCCTTCCTCCCTAAGAGAATACACTAAAATGGGAAAAATGTCCAGAGAGGGTAAATTGACTGAAGACACAGAGCAGCTTCTGTAGAAGCTGCAACTAAGTAGGTAAGATGTTTCCATGTGGGAAAAAAAAAAAAAAAGAAGACATTGTTAAGGAGAAAATCTTAAGAGATATGAAGGAGAATACGAAAATTAAGGGATAAATTAACACATGGAACTGAGCTGGCACATTCAAAACCACGTTTTTTCATACAAAATGTAGGTTAGCTCAGAATCCCCTTGCTAAGTCTAAGAACACTATAAACGGATGGTTTTGGGATACTGGTCACACTATAAAATGAAGACCCATGAGGGCTTACTATACAGAATCCAGCTGGACCTCAGGAAGCCCCTTAGCTGAAGGGAATTGCTGAAGACTGGAAGAATATTCCAGAAAAGCACTGTTATGCATGCTCTATTCTTATACTCTCCTCTAGGTGCCTGTGAGTAGCTTCTAACAGAGACAGATTACCAAGCTAGATGGACCTTCTGTCCAATCCAGTACAAACTGCTCTAGAAAATGCCTTGGGATGATTCTTGTTGATTTACTAGGCAAGATGATGTCCAATTATCCCAAGCACTAAAAAAACCCAGAAAGTGTTAGAACATCAGTAACATGGTAAGCAAGTAAAAAAAATTCTGAAATAACCATGCCACAGCATCCAACCCCCAAGAGTTGAACTTGTACTTGCAAAGAATACTGGGGTAGCATCATTTGTCAGTATCTGAACAAGTTGCAGAAACACATAAGCATAAATACTTGCTCTGAAGTCCAGTAGACCGACAGACAAACCATGTTCTCTCCTAGACCATAGGCCCTGTCACAAATCCTTGTGTACCAACCAAGGGTCTTGCTGCAGGTTGGTCAGCTTGCTTCCCAAACCCATTGGAGTTGTGCAAGTAAACGGCCTCGGGAACAAACTAAGAGCAGGGGGAGCCTCAGGCTCCTTTGGACACAAACTAGGCCTGATGTCACCAAACCCAACCACACCCTGTGGCCTCCCTCCCTGGAGCATCCTCAGTGCCTTCAGGTCACCAAACCCAACCACACCCTGTGGCCTCCCTGGAGCATCCTCAGTGCCTTCAAGAAAGAGCTTTCCATGGTCACAAACCCAGGCTTTAGGAGAGAAAAAGAAAGGGGAAGTCAGCTCCTGAAGCAGAAGGTTGGCAATATTTGGATCCTGTAACTAGAAAAGCCCTGCAAGCCTGTGGGGCTCAGCAACTAAGGTACAGATCAGTCTAACATTGAAGAAACATTTCCCAGATATCCTTTCAAGCCAATGTTTTCTCTAACTCTGCCTACTCCAACTATCCCTTTTCTTGTCCCTCTCTCACATGGGAGACCAGAGGCAAGATGTCCCAAGACAGAAGTCTATTATCTCCTGTCCCAGCAACCCAACCTATTCCAAGCAAACAATGAACGGGATGTCTGGGATTCTTCCTGGCCAGGCTGTGCTGGCATTCTTAAGCTTCTCTGCCATGAGTTTGAAAGAGAGACTGAGGCAATCGTAGTGAACATAAAATTACACACTACCCTACTCTTCCACTATACACAGTTCTCAAAGCACTGAACCAAACTTGGCCTGTGAGAAGGACCATCTGACTGTCAGCATGGGCAGGGAGGAATTCAGTCACGAGCTAGGTGTCAAGTGGACACTGTGCAAACAGACTTTTAAAAGCTGAGTTTGCAAGAATCACATTTAAAGTCTGGCCATGTCACAAGCATAACTTTCCACGTGACCCAGGCTAGCCACCCTGAGAACACTCCAACTACATGACAAGTGTCTCAAGGGAATGGAAGCAATCTGGTAGAATAAAACTTCAAGCCAATTAAAGTCTACTCCTATGATCTGTAAGAACAGAGAGAAAACCAGGCATACTTTCTTCATATCCAGTCTACCTCAGAAAACAAAAAAAAATGTTTTAAGTTAGTCTATCAGAATTAACCAGTCATTTAAGTGACTGGTAAGGGGCAACTCAATTGTCCAAATAAAGGACAAGGGAGAAGACCGAAAACACCATATCCACCACTAAGTGCACAACATTCTACAACAACGAATTGGCACTATCAAAAGCCTCAATTAGCTGCCAAGTGAAGATACTTCTTCTGACAAGGATACCTTAATCAAAATATACAAACAAGCACCTTGCAGAACAAGAGAGATGAACCAAATTCCCAGTTATCGCTGCTACTCTCTTTTGGAGCTTGCTTTCAAAGGCCAAGCAGGCAGAGTATTTGCTATCACTGAGACAAGCAAGACAACCGGAATGGCCATGGAACACCGACTACCACGCAAATTATACAACCGAAATAAATGCTGAGACTGCTGGCCTAAGGTGTTTAAGAGGGAAATCAGTCCCAACAGGAACATCACGGTAGGGCTGGGTGTTATTTATCTTGCATAACTTCAGATGGTTTTGCCTGACCCAGTTACCGTAGGGGCTTTCTATGGCTGACAAAGGCCTAGCTAACTGAGTCTGTAAATTTTAATGCACAGGTCATCCGATCACATGCAGCCATATCTTCTGGTATGAGCTGCGCACCAAGTTCAATTGGCTTTACAGTGACTTCCTCAAACAGAAATGTTTACACTACAGCTATTTTGTATTTGGACAGTTATTTTAGGGGCAAAGTCCACAAAATATCTCCAATGGCTGACTTTAACGAGAAGGCCCAGCCCAGAAAATGAAGGTCCAGTAATATAGCAAAGTTTACAGAGAAAACAAGAAATACTTCATCATAAATCAAGTAGCTAGTAAGAAAAAAACCACTAGGGAAGGAAACACTTCATTCCTTTTATAACCACTTAGATGCAAATGAAGGGAGATGGGACACGTACAGTAGGGCCTGTACTAGCACTGCTGGATAAAAAGCAATTTTATGGCCCACAATGTTTGTATACCAGTGATGTACATACTGACATCAGAAAACAATATCTGACTCCCAAATCTCACCTACTAAAATAGGCACCAAAATCCAATTGGAAACAAAAAAAAAATAATTTTGCCACCACATATGATCATTTTAAAATGAAGTTTCAACTGCTAAACAGTATTTGATCACAAAAACTCCCTAGTGGGAATAGAAATAATGGATTACATTTGGCTTCAGTAGCCAGTTTATTAGGCCAATTCTCTTTGACGCAGACTAAGAGCAGTTTTTAAAAACATAGTTGGTACAAGGTTGTTTTTTCAGCACACTTACGTAGTAGCGTCATGTGTTCAAGGCAACACTGCTTCCATATTCCCAAATTGCTCAGGGCTACCTTCTTCCTTCATTTCTGCTATCAGTCAATACAGTGAACCAGACAATAAAGCTGATAACATTTAAAAATTAACCTTCCTTGGATAGGTCAATTTTAATCTATATCAGTTTCTCCATCCAGTTTACCAAGCAGCTGCACGTGTGCATGCTCACATAAGGAGAGGTACAATAGGACAGAAGTAGGCACAACCGATCGTTGCAGCCTCGAGATGCCCGATTTGCTCAAACCTCAGTATATTAACCTTATATTTACATTTGTTTATATATTGGTCAGACTATCTGCTCTGACCAGCTGTACCAACAAGCTGAGGAATTTCCCTCTGACATGCCTGTGTCTTCTCATTGATCTGCAATGCTTCCAAAAGGCACTGTAGGAAGCATCAGTAGTATCATTCCCATTGCAAATATTGCCCATTCTAACTAGAAAAAAAAAAAAAAAAAAAAAAAAAAAAAAAAAAAAAAAAAAAAAAAAAAAAAAAAAAAAAAAAAACAAACCAAAAAAACCACAACAAACAAATCCACACAGGACTTTCCTTACCTTTTATTGATTTCCTCAAGTTCCGCTCTCAGTTTTCCTATTTCAATCTGTAATCTAGCCCTCTCTTTGGCTGTTTCATCCAGAACTCTTCGAGCATCAGCCAGTTCAGACTCATAGAGACTCTTGATTCCGCTCACCTACGGGGAAAAAAATATTCAGGTATGAGAACATCTCAAAGACTAACTATCAAAGAACTGAAACACAGCACCAGGTTTCACATTGCTTTCTTTGAAAAATGGGTGTATGATATGATTGTTGTTTAAGAACACTGTATATCAAACATTTTCAATTCACATGCACCTACAACTAGATGTGATCTAGTCCCAAAACCAAGATTTAATTTTTATTCCCAGTGGGACATAACAAAACATACTATGTTTGAAGTGTGCAGATCTTCTGAAGAGATAAACTGAAGAAGATCAGTACACCCTGTGATCAGATCTTAAATTATTCGCCCTCATTTCCAATACTGCTGCTCTGGGAGATTGTTTTAAACAGTAGTATCACTTAAAGATAGATGACGATGGACTTATTTTGTGGAATACAAGTCCAAGGCCAAATTTTACTCTGCAGCTCTTGCACTATAAAGCTAAAAAGAATCTGAAACTAGATGAACTACAGAAATGCGAGCTATTCAGAGATGAGCTTCCACTCCTGTTCAGAGGATATCCTCAGAGGATAAGGATCTACAGACTTCTCCCTGTCCCATCGCGGTATATTACACAGTCAGCTATTCAGACCACAGCAAGGCACCTCAAAGTCTTCCACGCCTTTGTTTCCTAGAACACAAGATTATTTGAAAGGTATATCAGATAGCAAAAACATCAAGACCATATGAGATTGCTGCTATTTCTATGAAAGGACACCAGAACAACTATTACTAATGTAAATTCAGAAACAGAGCAATCAGGGAGTGAGAAGAACCACAAGCAGACTGTACGAACTTTAGGAAGAGAAATTTCACAACAAAGCATAAAACATAGAAACAAGAAAGCAAACTGCTATTCCTAGAAGTGCCTATTTCAATATCAGAGTGGCACCAAAGACAGACACAACCATATGGTCTTCAAAAAGACTGATTAAAAGCAGTCAGGATATAATTAAGTTCCTGATAGACTGTATGCTCATAGAACTTCTGAAATTAACTAAAATATGACAGTATGAGGGCTGAGAAGTCTTAGTTTACAAGCATACCACATACCAGAAACAACTTGGCTGTCTATCCATGCAATCTTACTTTTAAGAATTAATTCTTTCAAGGTTTATTCAACTTAAGTTTTGGGGTGGTGTGTGTCCATCCCCACCCCCCGTAGCTGATAGCCAGAGGTTGTCTACAGCACAAGCAAACACAGCTCTGTATTATCAGTTACAAAATTTAGGAAGTTCTACAGAGAAGTGTACCATGACTAGGCTGAACTCCTTCATACAGCACGCCACAATGCCAAGAAAAAAAATTAGAGATGTTAAGGCTGTAAAGCTTTTCGTTATGGATGACCCTTGGGTGAAAATACAGTATTTGCAAACTGCAATACAAAATACAATTGCCCAAAGGCCAAGCACCGATTCTGCACCATCAGGTACTGCATCTACAGCCCTGCTTCACTAATGCTGGCCCTTCTTTAGACCATCTGCCCTTCAACACTTCAACGTGCTAACACCCTTGCCCTAGGACACCTACCAGGAATTTTTGGGGCTGTATTGCTGCAGGTTCAGAGCCACACACTGAATCACAGTGCAGGGTGCAAGGACGAATCCCTTCCCAATTCTCCAAGGCATACACTGGAATTGCATGCCAAGGTTCAAAGGAAGAGAAGCTTCTTCACTAGGATTTTGTGAATACTGTCACAAAAAGGTGTTGCTGGTGCGACACTTAACAACAGGCAGTAAATAATCTATGGTTTTCAGGCACTACAGACAATACAGAGCTTAAAGGCACCAAAATATCTTAAAGACACAATAATCTGAACCGAGAATAAGCGCTTAATACTTAATTCCTGTGTAGAGAGAGTATGGCTAGATGGAGGTAAAACTTGCCTGATGAAAGCAGTTTCAGAACCTGTTGGTAAAAAGAGAACCAGTGCTTCTTAATTAGAAAGGGCTGATTCATTCACAGCATAACCAGTTGTGGTAGCTTCGTATGTATTTTTCTCCTGCAGCCAGTTAACCTCTTTGCTCTCATTCCAGTAACAAACATGAGAAGGAAACACACAGGTCCAATTCACAGTCCAAAGCGTTGGTCAAAAAGCAGCTTCCACTAGAATTTTAAGCTGATGCCCTGAACAGACAGGAATAATTGAGACCTTGCCGCTTCCAGCACAGGGATGCAGCAGACAGCTGGGAGCTGCAACACCTTCAATCACTGAAAAAACCCAACAAACTCTCACCAGAACTCTTAACAAGAGGGTGTAAAGAGAATATGGATTCATCATAATAACATGGATAGAAGTTTTAGATGATCAAACTGAACCAGAGGACAGTTCAAGACAGTCTTTCTAGATCATAAAAAAAATAACATCTTGTTTATTTGCAGCACTGGTCAAGCTGAGAAGAGAACCAAACGCAGCAGTGGGCTTAGAGGAAAGCAAGTAGCGCCAGCGTAGCTGAACCAGCCTGGTATTGAGTGCTTGACAACACTTCTAGCCCGAGATAGTTACTCACTGACAGCACCCTTCTGCCCCAGCACTGAGAGAAATTCTGGCAAGCATTTCTGTTCCCTGAAACGATCACCCCTCAAACTGTTCTGGTAACTTAGAATCTACTGACTCTCTGAAAATCGCCACAGAAGTACAGTCCCCAAAGTGCCTCTGTTTAGCGTACACCTAGGATTTTGCTTCATTTTGACTCTACAGACACTCTTCTGCCCACTCCCTTTTTTAAACCACTATATATTTGCTACTCAGTTTGGTGTCCAGTACAGTGACACTTCCAGGCATTCTTAAAAAAGTGCTGTTAATCTAAAACAAGTCCTCCTATGAGAACCTCACATGCCCCTTCCAGACAAAAAAAAAAAAACCACCCCAAAAGTCAATAGAAACAACAGCCAGTATCCACAGCAAGAAGAGAAGGAAGTTGAATAAATGCATCTGGCAACTGTGAAGCCCATTTCTGGTTCTTTGTCTCATCACACTTGGGAGCAGTGCCCCCAGACAGCGTCTACCTGTCCTTGAGCACTCCCAAAGAACACTGGATGCAAGAGAGAACCTGTCTGATGACATCTTCCTTTTTTGTCATCTTCCATCAGTAGAACCTATCAATTCAAATTCCTTCCTTCTTTTGCTGTTTCTCATCATTTTGCTTGGGTTACCACAACCCATTGTCTCCTGCTTCCCACATCTGAGATACAAACGCATCCTTGAAGCCTACGCCAGTCCCTCCAGCATACGCCAGTAAGACCAGCAGCTGGCAGCAAATGCTGACGGGAGTAAGTACAGAGAATGATGCAAACATACAATGATTCTTCACTTACACATACTCCCAACTTCTAGAAATTAAAAAAAAAATATTGAGCCAAAAATTGCTTCCAAGCACCAAAACCCAGCAGTCACCAAATACTGTTAAGTTTGTCTAATTCCTTTGGAAATCTCTTTAGCTTTTGGTTTCCACAACATCGGAGAGCATCATACAAGCACAACTGCTGGATTAAGACCTATTGCTTGATAATTTCATTTCATGCCTTTAGTTTCTGTGTTGTGAGAAATGCTGAATATTTGCTTCCTAGACAAATCTCTTTCTTTGGACTCATGATTTATAGACCTGAGGTTTCTTCTCATTTCTTTTCCAGATTTGCTCCTGGTCAGAAATTATTCTGCTGCACTGCTCATCTTTGGCACCTTTTCCTTACACACCTTTTCCAGGCTCTAGATGTTTTAAAATAGGTTAAGAGAACTGCAAGTAGCATTCAGAATACCGGAACAACATCGATTTACACGGCGATTATTGACCACCAGCTACAAAGGAAAACAGGGACATTACAGGAGATCAGAGAGGGAGAAAACGCAGTAATTTAACAGGTTTCGATTAGCCAACGCTGTAATCCAGGAGGTGGATTACATAGCTGAGCTGCATTTTCATGCACTAGTGAGTGCCAAGAATTGGCTAATCCAAGAAGCCACAAGAGAAAGCAACTCTTCACCTGGTTCTCAGCACCACGTAGGAGCAGATTTGCCAAGATGCTGTCAAGAACCTCAGTTGTCTTAATTTCTACATCCTTGCAGAAGCAAGAGAAGCCCCAAAGAAAAATCTACAACTGTCACAATTGTTTCAGCATGGCAACTAGGGAACACTGAGGTATTTGTTAAAACAAGTAAAAAAGCAGTTAATAATAAAATCTTTCTAGAAAGCAAGATATCGTATAAATTGTAGGCTGAAAAGACCACATATACAAAATGAAGTTTGAAGAACAACTCATGAATGGTGTAGAAAGTAATTCCTCTTGCTCTGCTCATGAAAAAGGCATACGTGAGAGGCTATGGCCCTGTTGATCAGCTTAGGTAGAAGCACCACCTAAAAAACATACCTTTTGGGGTTTGGGGTGTTTTAAACTTATATTTGAACTAGAGGAATCTTTAGGCGATTTCTACCCTTAAGCATTATCATAGAACAGATCAACAAAACAAGCAGTAAGAAACCATCACATTTAGAAAGTATTAACAGCTTTCTAAAGCCCACTTTTTAAACTAAATCAGTGTGTTATTTAAGTTCTCATTTAGCGGTCACTTTGTACCAGAGAATTAGAAGATGGCTCATGCCATACTCGTTTCTAAAATAGGAACTACCTATCACTAAATTCTGAAGCCCACAGCGGTACAGTAGACATTAACCTGAAGAGCAGAATTAAAGGGCACACGAGTAAGAGTCGTACTGAGGCAGAATCAATATGACTTGTGCAAAATAAAAGTTTCACAACCTATTGGACTTGCTCAGTCAACCCGAGAGCACGTATTCATGACAGATCCGATAAAAAAAGCAGCAGTGGGTAGATGTAGAAGTACAACAGAGCAGAGAAAAAAAAAAAAAAAAATCAGTCCCACAGTATGGCTCTTTTAAAGGCAACCAGTGGACAAGGGAACAAACATATGAACAAGGGTTTGAAAAGACAACAAGCATTCAGAAAGCGGAGATTGAGCTAAGCCAGTCT